ACAATTACAACTGGTTAGTTTTTCGGTTTGTAGGCTTCACTGACTGGAAATGAATGGTCTGTTTAGAATTATAATAACTTATAGTCGTAATAGCATGACTTGGGCATTGTTTTACTTGAGCCTGTTAATTGCTGACTGGAAATGAATGGTCTGTTGTAGGCTTATAAATAACTTATAGTCGTAATAGCATGACTTGGGCATTGTTTTACTTGAGCCTGTTAATGACTTTAAGATAAGGACTATAGAGCTTGATGGGAAAGGATCAAACTGCAAATTTGGGATACTGCTGGGCAAGAGAGGTTTCGAACAATTACAACTGGTTAGTTTTTCGGTTTGTAGGCTTCACTGACTGAAATGAATGGTCTGTTTAGAATTATAATAACTTATAGTCGTAATAGCATGACTTGGGCATTGTTTTACTTGAGCCTGTTAATTGCTAACTGGAAATGAATGGTTTGTTGTGTCGTCTTACTTGCCATTTATTCTCACTCAATTATTGTGAATTTCAATAACAGCTTTAGTTCAAGGTGGTTGCTGTTGCTTTGCCATTTTCCTTCTCTGTGATTTTTAGTCTTTAGGAAGTCGGGAGTTTGTCTGCTTTCATGGTTTGCACAGTTTCTAACCTGCCCGTTGTCATACACTTGAATTATATGACAGGACTTGGAAATAAAATTTTGAAGAACAGATGCTTACCCATTCATATTTTCTAGATTCTTGATTGAAGGTGTTCGATAGGGTGTTTGAAAATTTTGCCTCTACATAGTATTTTATTTGTCTCTTCAGATGTCTACTCTCCAATACATCCTGAATTTTGTCTTCTAGACCCATGTCTTGTTAACAGATGAGTTCTGTAATATTTTCTTTTCATGCAGCTTACTACCGTGGAGCCATGGGTATCTTGCTGGTGTATGATGTGACTGATGAGTCATCTTTCAATAGTACTTACTGAACTTCATATCATTTGGATTTTCATGCATAAGTTGTTCTACCTTACCTACCTCTGAATCTTTAGAAATGTGTAGTTTCAACCAATTCTCGTTCATCAGCCAAAACTCAGATTCCTAAAAGGTGAAGCATGATAAGTATATTCCTTATCCATTGATTTGAAATTTATTCCTTTTCCATTATAATTATCTTATCAACTGAACAATATCCTTTATACTCAGACACCAGAAACTGGATTCGAAATATTGAACAGCATGCATCAGACAATGTCAACAAGGTTCTGGTGGGTAATAAGGCCGATATGGATGAAAGCAAAAGGGTTTGTTTCTCTTTCTCTTGCTCGCATCTGTGAGCTTATTGCTTGCATTTACGGTTACCCTTCATTTTGGCATATTGGCCTGGTTCAGTTTCTTGTATAAGTTACTGAGGAACATCTTTTCAGGCTGTCCCAACTTCAAAGGGTCAAGCTCTTGCTGATGAATTTGGCATCAAGTTCTTTGAGACTGTATGAAATCTTTACTCCATATTTTGCTGTTCCCTTTTATGTTTAGTGATCTATCCTATATGCTCAAGTGCCAACCTATCTTGCAGAGTGCAAAAACAAACTTGAATGTTGAGGAGGTTTTCTTTGCAATAGCCAGGGACATTAAGCAAAGACTTGCTGATAGTGACGTGAGGGTTGAGGTATCGTATCTCTTACTTGGAAGTATCATCGCTTCTGACAAGAAATGCATACTTGTTATAATTATGCAAATCATTTCCTTAAACACATTTAAAACACTAGTTCCTAATGTGACGAGCATTGCATGCAATTTTACTTGTTTATTTATGCTTATTGTAGTAATATCTATTTTCTTCGTATTTGCAGCCAAATGCAATCAAAATTAGCCAACAAGATCGGGCAGAAGGGTCTGCATCTAATGCTCAAAACTCAGGTTGCTGCGGGTCTTGAAGAAAGCTATGATGGACGATGAGCTCTGAAGGGTACATTTTCTTATCTCGGGAGCTCTCTTTCAGTTTGGGAAAACTAATTTCATTATAACTATATCATTCGTGTTTGTATTCTCCTGCTTATCATTATTTTTACATCTATTACTCTTTTGGTGTGAAATGATAGATCCTAGATATGTATGGGGTAAGGGGGAGGTAAGATAGTAGGCTACCCCCAACACCAGGTTGAGAGCAGCTTCCGTAAGAGACCTCCGAATTATGAAATGCCCTCCGTGGGACCGATCCCACGACCTCAATGTTAAGAAACCTTGTGCTCTACCAACTGAGCTGGATGGTCATTTCAACAACATTATAAAGAAGGATGAAAAGCATCACGTGTTAGTGAGAGAAGCTCCCGCTTCTCTCTAGGGCCCAGGTGTTTTAAAAAATAAAAGTGGCTTCTCCTCCGACAATGTTTCGTCGTCCGCTGTCGTCGTCTGCCGCCGCCGTCAGCAATCAGCCGCCATACTCGGACCACTGTTTGACGCCGTTTTTTCCTGGGATGGTCGTCTGCTCAAGGTGAACACAGATCTGGACCTTTTTTTGCGAAAAACTGTGTCATTCGTCGTAGATCTACACTCCGTCAACTGCAGATTTACGCCGCCTCCCGCCGGTCAAGTTCTACTCCGCCACATTACCGATCTCAGCGCCTTATTGCGACCTAATCTTGAGCTTTCTAGTGTCGAGCATCGTTAAACAACTGAGAAATCACCATGGAACCCCAACCCCCGTCTCAGCCCAGCCGTCTTTGAGGGTTTGTTTCAGCTGGCGTGAGGCATTCTATCGTCCCTCCTTCATCATTTAGGATTTCACAACTCCTTGAACCAGATAGCAGTGGTGCAGTCGATGATTTTCCTATGGAGTCTGCCAAGGAACTAGAAGCGAGAGTAAAGGCTCTAAAAGCACTAGTGGCAGATTTGAACAAGCGGGTAAAGGATTTAAAAATGAAGGAGAATGCAGTTTCACTAGGCAATTTTCTCAGAACCTCTGGATCCGCCGATGCAGCCTCTTCTTCTTACTCCAGTAAAGACATACGTGAAAATGAGAAAGAAAAAGAGAGGTCACAGTTTCGGAAACGGAACAAACGAGTTTTTACCAGATGCATGCTGGCCGGATTGAGGCAGTTTGGTAATTTCCCAATTTCCCCGCATGCTGCTAGGAACGATGTTCTGGCAGCCTTGGCACGTGAGGCTGGTTGGACAGTTGAGCCCGACGGCACCACTTACCGACACTCTCCTATGCTCCAAAATCAACAAAATTTGGGAACTTATTCAGCGAGGTCGGGTGATAGTCCATTATCATCCAATCCTTTGAAGAAGTGCTTACAAGAAGGGAAACATAGAAATGGAAAGTTGTCTTTAGCACATGTTAAGCCAGCTCTTTCTGTTACTCATGTTGATCATAATGGATCCAAGGAGATCAATTCGAAAGGGTATTCCAATGTAAAATTGTCCGAAGTGGTGGGAAGTAGAAGAAACGGGTTTAATAATCAGTCAAATGAAGGCCAACCAAATATCGTTAATGGGTTCAGAAAGGGTTGTTACACGATTTTTATCGAGAACCTTCCAGAGAAGATCCATTGGAAGAGACTTGGATCTATATTTGGCTCACATGGTCAAGTTATTGATGCATTCATTCCCAAAAAAAGAAACTCGAAAGGGTTTCGCTTTGGGTTTATTCGCTTTGCTACAATTGAAGAAGCAAGGACAACGATTTCTAAGATGAATGGTAATCATATTTACGGCAACAAAATTAGAGTCTCTCTGGCTAAATATAAACCTAGACAGTCTTTCTGGCGAAAGTCCTCGACAGCTGTTCAAAGTAAGTCTGGGATGGAAGATCTTCCGAGGTTTAAACACTGTGAAGTTGAGGGTGTAGTGGACGAAGATAAACTTCAAGTGTTGAACAACTGTCTTGTTGGGTGGTGCAAGAACTTTATCAAGATTGATAATTTTGCTAACCAAATACAAGTCAAAGGACTAGCGGGTTTCACACTAATGAGAGCTGCTGGAAATGTAGTTCTAATGGTGTTTGAGGACTCGGATTTGTTGAGAAACGTGAAGGAAGATAAGTTAGAGACTCTTGCAGAATGGTTTTCCAGAGTGGAAACTTGGTCAGAAAGTCTTGTGGTGGAGAGTCGGCGAGTGTGGTTAGTTTGCGAAGGTATTCATTTTCACGCTTGGAATTGGGATACTTTCAAAAAGATAGCTACTAAGTGGGGCAAGTTAATAGCAATTGATAACAGTTGTGAGTTCCCTTCGTGTTTTGACCGGGCTAAAATTCAAATACTCACAAATGCTCAAGGGAGAATTGATGAGTTGTTAGAGTTGAAGGTCGGGGATAATTTATTCAAAATCTTGGTGCATGAAGTTGACCCTTCCTTCAAACCTAATTCTTGGGTCCCTGAAGATTGCGATATCTCTTTAGAACTTGTTCCTCCAATTGGACTGTGATTGTTCGACAGCTGTATTCAGAGGCGTTTTTTAGTTTGTGGTTGTAATTGTTGGTTTTTGTTTTGCTATGTTATCTTACATCTTGAGGTGTATTTTAGAAATAGGGTTATTGTCTTAGGGGCTTTTTGTTTGAAGATGTAAGATTTTAAGGTGATATGGTCTGTACTGATTTTTATTCCCCTTTGAGGGTTCGGTGTTACCACTTGTACTTGGTCTTCTATTTAATAAAATATGAGGTACTCTTTTCTCCCTTCCAGTGTTCTTCAACATACTTCTAAGTATGTGGAAGAATATGAAGGGAGTTTTTAATGAGACCTCCAACTTCTATAAAAAAAAATAACAACATTATAAAGAAATTAAATCTCACATTTCAGCAAAATAGAAAGATTAAAGCCATAATTGTAGGTTTCCTCCTTTTCTCCGGGGTGAAGCAAAATCTAGATTTCATCTCTTCAATTAATGAAGACTACATGTTGCTGAGATACAAATACACAAAATAACAAGCATTGACTCCCTACTTTTTAACATGTTCCCTGGCCCATGTTTAAAAAATTGCAGGTTCAGTCAGTGGTGCTGTCATCCATTAACAAGCTTCCCTCATATGTACACAAAAGAGAACCCTACCTTGCAAATGAACATGGTCGTTTTACGACAATTGTTTCATTTCATCCTTCCCATATATACGTTGAAGTTCAACACTGGCAGCTAAAAACAACTCTCAAAAAGAAAAGATTCGCACATGAGTAGAAATCATTTTTGTTTAAATCGATAACGAGTACTCACAGAATGTTGGTTGGAATTAGGAAGATAAGTAATTTGAGTTGGATAGCTTACATTACCTTTCCAAAGCCGGAAGCACTTGTGGTTAATAGGTGAGCCAGTTATAGTCTGAATAATGTCGAACATCATATTCCGAGGTGTGCTTCTAAGCTCTTGGATAATCCCATAAATTGTCTTGCCATTCTCAAAGTATATGTGATTGTTTGGGTGTTTTGTTTTGCAACCAGCATGCCGCTCAAATTCATATGCATTGATCACCTATAAGGATGTAGTAAAATCTCGCACATCATACTACACATAATTGGCCTAAACAATTCCCTCGATTCAAATGGTAAAACCGAAAAACCCCACCTTAGAAAAATTGCATGTCTGACAGCCACAGTGATATCCCCAACTCTTTATTACACCACGGAGCTCCTTCTGAGGTTCACAAAAATAAGCAGGCGTATAAACAGACAGTAAGGTAAACTAAAAGAACACATGAAATGTGATTTTACCTCCTGTGACCACGCAATATATTTAACACGAACACCATCAACACTTGACAGCAAACTTCTAACATTTGATGGGAAGTTATTAGAAGCGGCTTTTTTGGATGTTTTCTGCTTATCTTCCTCCTAGAAACTTAAGCTCCAGAGGCAATGACATTATTGGATTGAACCAACTCTTTTTCACTAGGAGCATTTGATCTTTCAACGAAAGACTGACCCTTCAACAAATTATAGTTTGATATACTACTCCCCGAAGGATTTGAATCATCTGTCATGGTTGGGAGAGAGGAGGGGAAGCAAGAAGCGAAGGGCATTGGGGATTTAGAAAATGAATTAGGGATTGAGCTAGGGATTGCACATAGTGAATTGGGGAATTTTGAGAAAGAGGAATTAAAAGGGGAGCATGTGACTCACATGGGAAAATTAACAAAGGAAGGGAGACAAGGGCCTTAGGATAAGCCCAAGCCAAAATAGGAGGAAACCTAGTGATTGTGATTAAATAACATGTACTGCAGCAGAATATAGTTTTCATGTGTGAAAAGAATGAACTTTTTCTTCTCTTGAATCTATATTCTCTCGTCTATTCTCTCATCTTTTCTTTTCTTCGTCTATTTTCTTCTATATATCTCGAGGGTCATAACAAATTGGTAATCAGAGCCACAACTCTTGGCAAAGCAATGGTTGAATCCTCTGCTCTTTCTGCAATTCAAAACCAGATTTACGAATTATCAAAGCTGGTGAAACAAGATCAGTACCTGGAGACAAGGATTGCAAAGAATAAGGGTTATTTCGAGCAGATTCTAAGGGTCTTGACAGGAAAGACGGTGGAGCAAGCCCAAAACAGCCCTGAAACGGAGTCGATACCTATGGCAATCGAAGGCACAAATGATGGGTGTCAAGTGTTTGATAAAATGCCATCCATCACTAGTTTTGATCTCCCTATAACAGAAGAAAATGGTGTTGTTTTGGATACAATCAGTATCTTGGCAGAGTTTTTGGCAAACAACTTTGGAGCATACGCCATTTCAATTGCAACTGCCTCTTCTGATGTTCTTGAGTTCCTGCAGCATGAATGCCATGGAAAACCATTAAGAGTTGTTCCACGGTTTGAGAAGCCAGAAGGAAGTGTAACTGACACAGATGAGGATAATGAAAGAGTTGATATTGCAGAAGAAGATACTGATGAGGATGAGCATAATTTTTTTTTAACTCGTGATTTTTTGTCATCAAGCCCTTTCAAAAGTAATGGATCATATTTCCGGACATCATCTTTCTATTCAGATGATGGTTTTAATGCCTTTGATTCTGAAGATGACATTGATCCTTGCATTAAATCAGTGGGAAGTAACTTTCCTTACATGAAACGCCGAAAAAAGTTGCCCGACCCCGTTGAAAAAGAGAAAGGTGTTAGTCTTTGGTCAATGATTAAGGATAATATTGGGAAAGATCTCACACAAGTTTTTCTTCCTATATACTTCAATGAGCCTCTATTTTCTCTTCAAAAGTGTTTTGAGGATTTGGAGTATTCATATTTGCTTGATCGTGCATATGAATGGTGGAAAAGGGGGAATAATCTCATGAGAATTCTTAATGTAGTTGCATTTGTTGTGTCTGCATATTCTTCAACAAAAGGAAGAATTTGCAAACCCTTCAATCCATTAGTAGGAGAAACATATGAAGTTGACTTCCCTGATAAAGGTTTACGCTTCTTCTCAGAGAAGGTCAGTCATCACCCTATGATTGTAGCATGTCACTGTCAAGGCATAGGATGGAAATTGTGGGGTGATAGTAATTTAAAAAGTAAGTTCTGGGGTCGCTCAATTCAGCTGGATCCAGTCGGTGTTTTGACCTTGGAGTTTGACAATGGAGAAGTGTTCCAATGGAGTAAGGTAACAACGTCAATATACAATCTCATCCTGGGAAAGTTGTACTGTGATCACCAGGTACATGGTATAGTTCAAGATAGGAACGGAAGGACAGTGGCTTCATTATTGGGAAAATAGGATGAGAGCATGCATTATGTGATTGGAGATTATTATGCAAAGGGAAAAGGACAAGAGTCTTTCCCAGAAACTCATACACTTTGGAAGCGGAGCAATTCCCCTAAATATCCCACCAGATATAACTTAATACGATTTGCCATCACTTTGAATGAGCTGACTTCTGGTCTGAAGGAAAAGTTGCCTCCAACTGATTCTAGGCTGAGACCTGATCAAAGGTATATGAAGACTGGGGAGTATGAAATGGCAAATTCAGAGAAGTTGTGGTTGGAGCAGCGGCAACGACAGGTAAAGAAGATGCAGGAGAACATATCTCTTGTGTCATTTTCTAGTCGACTAGCTTCTCAGATTTGGTCTGAGATGCAAAATGATTTTCTGCCAAACTTTATCCTTTGCAATACTACTCAGCATTTTATCCGATCTTCAAAAGTTCCTCTTGCTCTTGTACAAAAGCCATTAGTTCCACATGCCAAGCCAAACTTCTATTGTGGTACTCAATATTTAAATTCTGCACATCAAAGTTTTGCGCAATTACATAGTGGATTTTTTGGAATTCCACACATGATTTCCGTTGTTAAACTTCTAGGATCTAGGTCATTACCGTGGCTTATTCGAGCACTGTTGGATCATATATCAAACAAGATTGCTACATTTGAGCCTATGATCACAGGCTTGCAAGAAGCACTGCCGAAATCAATTGGACTTCTTCCTTTTGATGGGGGTGTGACAGGATGTATGAGGCTCGTTAAAGAGCAACTCAGCTGGGGAACAAAACCAGAGCTCAAAGCTGAAGTTCTTCGCGGAATAAATGAGATTGGGAGTGTATTATATTGGGTGGGGCTACTTTATATTGTTTTAAGAGAGTTGGATACCACACATTTCATGCAAACATCAGCTTGGTTGGGCTTGCTTTCTGGTGCAGATGGGCAAACATTGTATTCACAAAATGGTGGAGACAGCCCTGTTGCCAACCTCTTCAAATCTTCTACAGCTGCAATGGTGTCGAACCCTAGGTGCCCAAATCCAGCCTCCTTATATACAATGTCAAAACAGGCAGAAGCTGTAGATCTTTTGTACATGGCTAACTTAAATACGGGAAGTGTGTTAGAATACGCATTTGCAACATTTGCATTTACAAGTGCAACATTAGATAAATATTGCAGTAAATGGAGTGCTGCTCCAAAGACTGGGTTCATTGACATCACAACTTTAAAGGATTTTGTGGTCTTGCTATCACAAATTCGATACTTTGATCCTTGGGGACAAGGATCGTCTAAAGGGGGAGGAATTGTCATGGTTGGGAGAGAGGAGGGGGAGCAAGAAGCGAAGGGCATTGGGGATTTAGAAAATGAATTAGGGATTGAGCTAGGGATTACACGTAGTGAATTGGGGAATTTTGAGAAAGAGGAATTAAAAGGGGAGCATGTGACTCACATGGGAAAATTAACAAAGGAATGGAGACAAGGGCCTTAGGATAAGCCCAAGCCAAAATAGGAGGAAACCTAGTGATTGTGATTAAATAACATGTACTGCAGAATATAGTTTTCATGTGTGAAAAGAATGAACTTTTTCTTCTCTTGAATCTATATTCTCTCGTCTATTCTCTCATCTTTTCTTTTCTTCGTCTATTTTCTTCTCTATTTCTCGAGGGTCATAACATCATCATCATCATAGCCACCAAACGATATCATAGTACTCTCTCCCCTATCATAGGGCGGATCAACGGACAAATTATACCTGCTCCCTTGTAGCTACGAGTAATAGATATGGTGCTGTCGTCTCCTTTACTGTAGGTCTGAGTCTGACCCACAGTTACAGAACCATCATCTGTACCATTGTAGGTTTGACACATGGACATGAATTTGTTATCACCCTTATCAAAGGTATTGCTCATTACAATTGCATTGTTATCCACACTTTTGTTATAGGATTGTTTCATAGATGAACCATCCATGAACCATTGACGAGAGCGCTTGGGATCAACTTTAGATGAAGTATCATACTATCATCTCACCATCATTTAAACCGGCATCTTCTGTCATCCAAATGCCCTGATTCTGGAAACACTATCACATGTAACGATTCCTAATCGGAGACTCTAAGGCCATGCAGAAGATAACAATAACATTTGAATCTTTTCAATGATATAGTAGCATCAAGATTACCACACGCCATAAAAATTATAACAAAAGAATTACAAGAGAGTTTCAATAAGGTGAGGTTTTTTTGCACCTATTGCTTTACAGAAAGCTACTAGGCACACACAAGCATGGACTTGATGAAATGCACTATCTGAAGGGTTGAAAGAGCTTTTCTTGTCTAATGCTAAGGCACAGCACCTAAGGACGCACCTGGGCCATATTAGTGGTCACACATGATTTAGCAAGTAGAAAATAGTCAAAATGACATTCTTCTTCACTCTTATGCACACATATCTAGTTCACCACAGCTTTACGGCACGAAACTACATAACGGAAAAGCCAATAAGCAACTGCAGAACAATTAATAACAAAAAATAAACCTCTGAATCAATCACAACAGATACACATAAATCTCATACAGTATCAAAAGCACCAACCACTAAACAGAAAATTTGTGCACCTCTAGGTTTAGGCGGACACATTATCTAATGATGACACATTAACATCACCGCTAATTTTTTAAAGACAAATGACCAAAATGTAACATTAAGTGTGATCTAAAACAGATAATAGTTGAGTGATCAAAATAGAAATAGAAATTAAATAATAAGTAGATAACTGAATAAGTAATTTACTTTTTTTGGGCATGGGGTGGGCCATGTCCTGGGTCTAGATACGACCCTGTTCCAAGCCCCACCAGCTCTGCAAACACCTCCAAGAAGTTGCTAAAAGTTACCATTACTCTCTTAATATTGTCCCACTAAAACTAAAATATATATCTTCTTGCACCCCTCTTCAATTACAGTAAATCAAGTTTTTGAGGGATTGATTTGCAGAATTAGCATTAGTATATGTGGATCGTGCAGCAAAAGAAAGTGGAGCACGAGATGATCAGCAAGCTGGTGAGTTACGACACTGAGATCAATAGGTTCGAGGAGAAGAAAGTGATCAAGAAGCTTAAGGGAGTGAAGGCCAAGGAACCGATGCTGTGGGCACCAGTGAACGAGGTAATGGTGGATGATAAACAGCCCGGGAAGATCCATTTCAAGTGCCTTGCCGGTATTACCAAGACTTTCCCCGTAGATCCATTTCAGATGCGCAGCAGCAGCATCGTGTTCTGCATGACCATGCAGCAAGTGTTGTTAATGATAATGGAAATGGAGCGGAAGAGATCTTTGGTCGTTTCAATAGCTTTGAAGGGTTATTTTCATTTCTATTCAAACGCCTGAAACTTGACATCAACTTAACACCCACAAGCGAACACTGAAAAGCAAGAGAATAGTCATAAATTAAGCATGAAAATGAATCATAATGCATATAGATTTTAAAGATTCTTCCACTTCAATTCAAAGAATAGTGTTGTAGTTGTACACGTTGTTCTTATTTGACTGTCCAAAAACCCAATAATATAAAGTCCCCTCTTCAAATTCGAACCCTTCAAATTCAGTGGAAAGCACCCTTGATTTCTACAAGGGTTTCCTTGTTTATACTCCAAGTTTACACAACGGTTTAACTTTTTAATTGTCAATTTAGACTTTCGTTAATGAGGATTAACGATTGAAGAAAACTTCCATTAGTGGGTTAACGGGAATTAACGACCGAGAAAAAATTCCATTAATGGGTTCATGAGGATTAACGGCTGAGGAACTAAAATTGAACAAAATCAAAATCACTCTTTTTTTGAACTAGTGACCAAAATCAGATGGACCAAAAATATAAGGGGCCATTCGTATAGTTTACCCTTATATTTTACTATGCATATTTAAACTTCTAGAACGCGATTAATTAGATGAATAGAACATGTTTAAACATAAATAACTTCATTTGAAATATTTTATTTTCTCTTGTCATGGCTGTAATACGGCAGTTTCGGGGGTCGTTTTGATCTTCGTACGTGGGCAGGTAAGTGATACTGAGATCAGAGCAGAGTGTGGGAGGAGTGAGGTGCACCGTGCATGAATGTCTTCTGTCATCAGAATGTACTGGTCCCACGTGTCACGAGGAAAACGGCGTAGTGTTCACGTAGAGACGAACGATGATCGCTTATGGAATCTCCTCTAATCTCCTCTCCACCAATCATATTCGTTGTACCACGTGCACTTTGGACCCCACCAACAACCTATGACTTCATCCACATAGCTTTGCCTTTTCTTTTATTTTCTATAGGTTAGCCTATATTATAGTAATATAAATAAATGTAATCATACTAGATCAAAAATAATATTAACATATTATTCCCTTTTCTATAATTCTATATCTTTCAAAAAAAAAGTTATTGTATGGTTTAATTGCAGCTTATATCCTCAATTTATGCTCTAGATTTTATATTGGCCGTCTACTTCAAGATGTTATAACTGAATCTTTGAAGTGTTAGTCTAGTATAAATGATGTATTTTAGTCATTTTAACTATTCACTTAGACATTGATGGTTAATTTAAATATGACATGGATCATATTTAAACTAATAAAATCAAAGCTTCAGTACATAAAAATTGAATATGTACTTATTGGATGGATAATTTCGATCACTTTAAAAAATAATCCTTTTAATTTTTTATGGTTTTTGGCACATGAAGGTTGTCATGTGTGTTTAAAATCTCTTCCATGTTAAATCTAAGTTAGAATTTAATGTCAAAATTGACCAGTATGTCGATGAAAGGACCATTTTAATACAACACCAATATTATAGATTTGATTAAAATATTTAAAAGTTTAAAGATCGATTAAAATCTGAACATGACTTTGAGAATGTATGATGAAATTAACCCTAATTTTATTATTCAGTGGTTATTAAGTTAGTGTAATGCCTTAATTGATATGACACTAATACATGCTAAGTACTCGATCAAAATATTTTAAATTAAAACTTAAGATATAGTTTGATGATGCCCAATGCAATTAACCCCAACGTGATTTTGTTATTTAATTGTTATAATATCGCATATTCACCCACGGGCTTTCTATAAGTTGAACAATTTTGGCGTTCTTCTCTTTGATCTTTTATTCGCTACCCAATTGTTTCTTCTTTTGCACTCTCTTCTCCTAGCTAGCTGCCATTCTTTCATCTGCTTTTCTCCTTTCTCTTTTTCCCTCTCTCTGTTTCCATCCCTTGTAGTTTTATCTATAAGCCTAACCAGCAGCAGAAACAGAGATCTGTTTAGAACTATAATATTTGTGTGATTAATGGGAGACTCTTCTGCTTCATACATCCACCTGGTAATAAGCAAACAATTAATCTTCTTCATTTCGTATTTCCACTTCTAATTTTCGTCTTATATAATTATATGCAGGTACAGCATCTTATAGAAGAGTGTTTGATATTCAACATGAGCAAAGAAGAGTGCATGGAAGCTTTATCGAAGCACGCCGATATTAAACCAGTCATAACTTCAACAGGTTCTCCGCTCACTCACCCTTTTTTTTCCTCTTTATTTTATTGCAGATGATAAAGATTCCATGCACTGTGATATTTATTATGTGTTTACAGTATATGAAGTGTATGATTTTGGATTTTCAGTTTGGAATGAATTGGAGAAAGAGAACAAAGAGTTCTTTGAGGCTTACATAAGTGGCAGAAGCCAGAGATCAAGTGAGATAGAGAAAAGGCAAAGGATTCAGAAGAGGCTTAATGCTATAACGAAGGATTCAGACTAATACCAGAAAACGACGTCGCAGGAATAGAATGAAGAATTGTAGAGCTCAACAGTAGTTGGGAAGCGTGACGGCATGTGGGAATGTGGGAGCAGTGTATGAACAAAACGGGATTGCATGAGGTGATGGCACGTCCTACAAACGTGGCACCGCCCTCTTTGTTTGCTTTTGTAATAGTGTCGTTTTATAACCCCACTCTTCTCTTTGGTCCTTTACACATTTAATTTAAGAACTAAATGCATGTACAGAAATAAATAAAAGGTCAAATTAAAAGGGTGATTTGGGGACCATGTTGTGTTCTAAAATGGACGACTGCGTGTCTATTTTCAAAGTCCCAAGCTTCTGGGTTTTTTTTCACGTTTTGGAGCAATAGAAATCACTTTATTCCATCTCCATGCCCATCAAACAACGTTTCTTTTGAACCAAATTACAAAATTTCTGTGTCTTTGTGTGTGTTTCATATGTATTATTTTCTGATGTCAAAGTATGCGGTGGAGAAAACCTACTTTGCCTTCTACGCTGATATGAGTTACTCCACCCAATTGCCAGCCACCTCAAGTATGCGGTGTTAAGTTCAACGTGGACATGCCACGCTGGTGAATACAATACATATCGCTTTTTTATTGTTATCACACGTTGAAGATTATGATATGATTTCTTCATTGTATCATCTATGACCTTAATCACTAAAAATTATGTATCTTGTTTTGTTTCATTCATTTCATTTTTTAATGACGAATCTTCATTTTTCTTTTGAATGTAAATATGAAAATTGACGGTTACTTGAAAAATATTATAAATGGATTAGTATCGTAGAATAAAAAAATGTGAATCAAGTAATTTTCACTGATTGAGATAATTAATCACATGATAAAAGAGAATTTATGAAATAACTTTTTCTTAACATGTAAACCAATCCTATGATGTCTTGTGACACAATTTGAGAGATTTTTACTCTTTTATGATTTTATCGATCATATGTAGGGATGGGCATGGGACCTGAACCCGATGGGTTCCGACCCGATCGATTCGGGTTCTTTTTTTTTATATAAAAAAATCGGGTTCGGTTCGGGTTTAGGGTGAAAATACCCGACCCGAAAAATTATAATTTTACCTTATATATTTAGGAATAATTACAATAATACCTCTCTATATATTATTTTTTTTCAATTAAGTCACTGTTTTTATTGAATAAAAATAATACTTTTTATTATTTCGGGTTGGGTAGAGTCGGGTCAGGTTTTTAAGTTATATATCAGGTCGGGTGAAATCTTTTTTTTTTAATTTAGGTCGGGTCTCGGATGGATGATTCCTTGATCTTGGGTCGGGTAGACCAAAAACCCGACCCATACCCATCCATAATCATATGGACCAAAACAAAATTATACGAGTTATTGGGGTTATTTTCTCTCCTTTCTCTCTACTCTTGTGTCGCCCTTGTCTGGCCTTGATAAAGTATATAGGTAATATGTTAGAATATTAAATATATATATATATATATTATTGAACATTTAAAATATATAGATATTACATTAAAAATGATAAGTATAGAGCCAAATCTGTCATTTCCTTTTTGGATTAGAAAGATTATTATCAGTGATTAGATTTGGTGTTATAAGCTCAGAGATGAAATTAAAATTAAAATAAATAAAATTATAATTATTTCATTGGGGGCAAATGTGCATTACCTCATTTAGAAATTTAATCGTATGTATAAGAAATCAATGGATTGGGCACCTTGATGGCTCAAACTAAATTGGACAAATCATCATTGGGCCTCCTCAAACACCAAATCCAACTATAGAAAACGCCATCGTTTTCAGGAATATACCGCAAATTCTGGATATCCTCATTGATCGAAGGGTTTTGAATTTCCCCTTCCCCCTCCGCGTTATCATCAATCAGGGTTTTAGAGAAGGAAAAAAAAAGGGGAAAACTCTCTTTTTCACTAAAATGGAGTCTCTTGCTAAAGTGAACTGCCGTCACCAACCTCTTCATCTCTCTTTCAATCAGTACCGTCCATCTTTCGCTAAACCCGCGTCATTTGTCACCTTCAGGACTTCGTCGTCGTCGTCATCATCATCGTTCAAATTACCCTCTATCAAAGCTTCATCTTCCTCATCATCTTCGTTCTGCCAAACCCCAAAACCTTCACTTCTTCAAACGCTAACTCCTCTACTCAAAACCACTTGCATTACTTTAACCGCCGCCGCAGCACTCCTCTTCACGCGCTTCCACCAGAAACCCGCTCTCGCCGCCACCCCAACTGTAACACCCACGGTGGAGCCCGCCTCAACGGACTCGAATTTATCGTTGGAAGACCAGGAGAAAACCATCCAGGAACACTTGACACTGAACCCAAATGACATTGAAGCTCTACAGTCACTCATGGAGGTGCTCATCAAATCGAAGAAACTTCCACAAGCTATTGAAGTTATCGACCGTTTGATTGAGATCGAACCCGAAGACGATGAGTGGCCAATGTTAAGAGCCCAAATTCTTAGCTACAGTGGCGATTACGCTCAAGCCAAGAACGAGTTCGAAGAGATAATAGCTAAAGACCCAGCTCGAGTGGAGGCTTTTCACGGCCTTGTAATGGCTTATTCGGAGTCAGGTCAAAAATTGAAAGAGCTGGAAAAAAGAATTGAAGGGGCAATGGAGAAATGCAAGAAAGAGAAGAAAAATAAAGATTTTAGAGACTTTAAGCTATTGATTGCTCAAATTCGGGTCATTGAAGGCAACCATTCAGAAGCTTTGAAGGTATATGAGGGCTTGGTTAAGGAAGAACCTAGGGATTTTAGGCCATATTTGTGTATGGGGATTATTTACTCTTTGTTGAAGAAGAAAGATGAGGCTGAGAAATACTTTGAAAAGGTTAGGAGACTTGTTCCTAGGAATCACCCTTATAGGGAGTACTTTGTTGATAATATGGTGGCAACAAAGCTTTTCTCTGAAAAGGCTGAAAGGGAAGGCGCTTGAAAGAGTCGATAAACATTTGCTTTGCTTATCATCATTGGAGCAAAATGGTGGCTTTTACAAAGAGGTGCCCTTTGTTTTGTTTTTAATTACCTTTCATTGTTTTTGCAACAGTTTGGATAGTAATTTAAAGTTACTTAGGTATTTAGCGTTGTAATATGAATAATGATAAAAGTTTGGTAATTGAGTTTGTTTAGTCGTTCTCTGCCTGAATTTTGCATGGACATCTTAGGAAGCTTGATATGCCTTTGCATTAAATACTTTTTCTTGGTTTAGTATGAGCTTTGCTGTGTTGCAGTGATAGTCCCTCATAACACATTGAACTAAACCTTGGAAATGTTGTCAAATACTTCCATTATGAGGGTAATTCATAGAAGTAGATGTGGTTCATGAAAGATATAATATATGGTATTGATATTTTCACTTTGGATTTTCAATTAGAGGCAAGCATTTTACTCCGTTTATATGTATCGAGAGTCGATAATTATGGCACTAGAGATTGCTTTGTAGTAGCTATACATGCTGGTGTTACAATAGTTGCTTTATCATGAGACTGCTGTGATAAATGAGAATTTGCTAGAATTGCTGGTATGAAAAGAGGGACACGCAAGTCACAAATTCTGGAATTTTGCCCCAAGAAGAAGCAAGAGAGAGGGTGAAAATTAATTGTTAATCTGCAGTGTTTCTGTTACAAAAGGTAGGAAATTTGAAGTAGTTTCGGTTTTTTTCTACATGAAAATGTATTTTCATCAAATTTCCGAACTTGCAATGGCTTCAACCTTTGATGTTGTGGCATTCTAGGTTAAATGTGTCAATCTGAAAATACCCCATAGACAATATACCTAAAAAGAAAACGAAAATGTCCTGTAAGTAAAAGCCAGATATATAGGACTTTCAGAGAGCAGATTTATAGGGTCCAATTTATTTTCTTTTCTGGTGAGCTATGAGCTGCATGTGCACATGAGATTGGAAGTTTTCGAAGGAATTCAGAGTAAAAGATTACTTGAGTTTGAGCTCGTGGCCGATGGATCACTTTCATTTAGAGTCAAGTTTATATATTGTGATTCGTAAGTTTTTAGATCACTTTTAGAAATTTTGTTCTCCATTACCTTTCATATTTATTACAATGCGGTGCATATCCATGCACATATTTGATTATGAATTCCTCTTGCTTGTTCCAAACCACAAATGCACAAGCATGAAGCATGTACATATATGCATGTATACATGTACATATTTGCTTCACAATATGCTTTGACTGTGTGGTTTAATGATGTACTTTTATAACGTTATTAGTTGTTTCAGATTTATATTTCTGTATTGGGAATATATTAATAATATTATAAAATAAAATAAAATTATACCTAATTAAAGTAGTCGAACATTTTATCAAAATAGAAAAAGGAAGAGTAGAAGATAGTTGAGAATAAAAGAAGCATATGATTCCTCCACTACTTTTTTTTTTACTTTGTTCAAAGCAGCAGTGATTCTGATTCGGCTAACAATACCAAGTTCCATGCAAACACTAAAATTCATCAGTTTCACATCACACCCAAAAGTAGTCTTCATTCAAAGTCCTAAAGAGATTGAAAGATAATTACATCATTTCTTGGTTGTAAAATTGGTCGAGGCAAGAGCTGGTGTTGCAGTTGCAGATGGCCAGAATTGTGCATTCTTCACCTTTGACACGCTAGCAAGTACGCTCGACGGCGTTACATCTCCCACGATGGTCACCTTCTTCGCCTTGAAGTCAATGTTGAAGGACGTCACACCTTATCCAATCATTGCATAAACAAAAGAAAATAAAAGTTAAATTCAAACTCGAAAATGATTAAAGCTCGAAATGATTAGATATGGAAACAGCGACCGAAGTGATTAAAACTTGAAAATAGTCCACTGGAAATGATCTAAAAGCTCTAACATTAGAAAATACCTTCCATTCTTGATAGATGTTTCCTCAGTTTTCCTTCACATCCTTTGCAGTGCAGTGACACCCTTAAAACCACAACCTGAAATCAATTGAAAATTAGAATACTGTTAGAGGTTAACCGAACTCGAGTAGCATAAAAAATAGTAAAACAGAAAAACAGCAAACCTGGTCTTTAGGAGGCTTCTCATTGAATGAGGAGGAAGAGGGTTTGGAAATGATGGAATGATCTTGTGTTATAGCTTGAATCATCTTGTTTTCCTCGGCAGGAACCAATGTCCAAACTGGATCATAATCTGATAGAAAAACAGAGTCACCCAACAGATACCTTGAGGAACCAGGAGGGGTGACAAGATCAATCCCCTTGGCCTTGCCATTATCTTCATTACCACTTGGCTTCAATGAACTGTTCTTAGTTGAGCTCTTCTTCTTTTGGTCATTGGACTTGGCTGAAACAGACGAAGAAGTCTTTTTATGATCATTTTTTGACTTGCTTGAAGAAGACCCTTTTCCATTCTTCCTAAGGGCAATCTGGTTGGAAGGCAAAGGATTTGTGTTGAATCGTTTAGCATCTCGGATGATGGGATTATGGCGATCGATGGCTCGACCACCTAGTTGAATGGCAGATGCCGAGGAAGAAGACGATGAGGCCGATTCATCCATGCTTAGATATATGGATGTTGAAGCCTGGGTTGCGCAGAAGATATCCATTCGTTTCATTTCTCTCTCTCTCTCTCTCTCTCTTCGAGTTAGGATATTGGTAGCACTCAAGGATAACCAGTTGTTTAAAGAATCTGCATAATAAGGGAGTGAAAGAGGCCAAATTCCAACAAAAAGGTTGCTGCTGCTGCTACTTCTATGTTCAAAGTACTTGAGATTCGATTTGTAAAGAAAAGTGAGGTATTTGTATTTTCAAATTAATTTGAAAAAAATAAATATGATATGATCATCATCAAATTGAATTCATTTTAGAGAAATTTAAATTATTCAGTGAATCAATTTTCAATATTTGAATGTTATATACTAACTTAGTTATGTTAAAATTTAGATTTTAAGTAATTTTAAATGTTTTTTTAATCACCCTGCATATGGGATTTAAAGTCAAAACTCATGGAGTTTGTTGAGGAAGAAGTAAAACCATTGTGATCCATATAGGATTTAAGTTTGAACTTTTATTGGATAAAAGATGTAGAAAAGAAATCAAAGTATAGAAGGGAGAAAAAGGAAAGGAAAGTGAAAGTGAAATTGAGAAAGCATAACATTGAATGATATTAGTGAGATTCTTATAGAACATATGCCGCCAGATATTCGAGTAACAAGCAACTTTGGAATTTTTTATTTTTTAAAACTATACATGGACGATACACAAAGCCACTTTCTTAAATTCTCCTACACAAATTTAGTGGAATCAGATGCTGCGAAAAATGCCTTCCTTTTTCATTTGCTCTTACACCTAAATGCCAAACACTTCTCGCAATTCAATTCAAGAGTTTTTATGCATGCCAAATTTTATTATTGATTGCTATATATATATATATTATGACTTTAATTGTTATATTTTTATTTGAATATTTTTTATATTTTTAAATTTTGAATAGTCTGGTGTGATTGTAAGATTATATGTTCAGAAGCAGCTACTCGAATCTAGGATCTCTAGGTATAATAACACTTCATTTTTAAATTTTAAATGTAATCTAATAATATATAGATAATATAATTAAATCATTAAAAATTAAAACAATCAATCCGAAGAGAATACGTTAAATTTATAATTTACTTATTATTCAAGATTCATGGACTACTTACTGGTTCCAATGGTTTAAGATTCATGGACTAATAACAGAGTTTGAGTATTTAAAAATTATTGTTACATTGAACTAATTGAATGGTTCTAATGATTTAAGATGATTTTTTTTCTGGATGATTTAAGTAAAGAAATTTGCAAGATTAAGGTGAGATATAGATAGTTTAGGATGTTAAAAAAATATTGTTATATCAATATTTTCTTAAAGTCTAAATTTTTTTATTTTTAAGTTTAAATTCAAGTCCAGCCGTTCTGAAGTTAAAATATCCTGTCCAAAGCTGGGATCAACCGAGCCGAAGGGGTCACACGACCCATGCCTAATCTGAACCCAAATGCAATAATATTATTGGATCGAAAAAGGATGCCCAAATGAAGAAAAGCCTACCTAGCCTTAACTCGGCTCTTACTTCTTACCTTCAAATTCTCTAGGGTTTTAAGGAGGAGATTAGTTCATTTTTTTTATTTCAAAGTGATTTTCAGTTGCTAATTCGCTTTTTTTTTTTTTCTTTTTGGTTTGAAAGCGAGGATAAAGGTTCGCGAGTTAAGGAACAAGTTGAAGGCGGAGCAGCTAAGCCAATTGAAGGACTTAAAAACAGAACTTGCTGCCCTCCGCGTTGCTAAGGTCACCGGCGATGCCCCCAACAAGCTCTCCAAGATGTAAGGAATTTTCCCACTTCATCCTTCATGTCTGTTTAATTCCCAGTTCACGCTTATTAGACAATGAAATATATGATTATTATTACTTTTGGCTGCAGAAAAGTTGTGAGGGTATCAATCGCGCAGGTTTTGACGGTGATTTCGCAGAAGCAGAAATCTGCTCTTAGAGAAGCTTATAAGAAGAAGAAGTTCCTCCCTTTGGATCTCCGTGCCAAGAAGACTCGTGCCATTCGCCGCCGCCTTACTAAACACCAGGTCATTTTATTTTTTGTTTTCACTTATTGAGATGTTTGCAATTTTTACGGTTAAACACTTAAATGTTATGTGTAATTGTTTATATGCATGGAATGGTAGTATGGTGAATTTGTGATGCTAATTAAAATCAGATAATGCCAGCTAGCTGTCTTTGTTTATGGTCATGCCAAAAAACTTTGAATATAGGTCTAGGAGCCTATGATACTTGTACAAGTGTAGTATGTGTCTATGCACTCGACACCAGTATGTTTGGATTTTTTTTCTAATTTTTCCATGCATCAGGAGGATCCTTAGAGTCGTATTCCCATATCCATTTGTCCAACAAGACTTGAATATGGGTGCTTTAAGAAAAATGAAGAGTCCAAGCGACTTAGTTAGGAGCTAAGAGATTTTGGATTGCCTTTGGGTAATTGCTAGTAAACAGTGGAGGCATTGAAAATGTCTGAGCCTAGCACGAAATGGAGGCACATCTTTTAAATGCCAATTGTATTAGCTTTTCTTTTGGTATGAATGGGCGTGAAAAATAATTATTTCTAGTCCTAATTCTTAAGGAAGAAACCTTGTTGTACGAAGTACGTATTTGATTGAAATGTATTATTGATCAACCAGTTAGCTGTATAGGAAATTTTGTGTTGAGCTAATGCTGGAAAAAAGTACTGACATTGATACTCGTTTAACCAATGGATGTAGTAGTTATAGGCCTCATGTACGTGTAAAGCCTTGAAATTTTTCGTGGCGACTAACCCTAGGTTATGCTAATGTTATATTTAAATTTGAGGGCTGTAGTATTGAGTGCTGGGGTGTTTTGTTTTTGCCCTTTGTTCTTAATGTTTTGGTACTTATGGAGACATTCACTCAGATACACTATTCAATTTACTGATTTGGTTTTCTGGGTTATTATATTCTGGCATCGTTGAAGACGGCGCGAAAAGGAGGAGGAGATGTATTTCTCACTAAGGAAATATGCCATCAAAGTGTAATCGAACCTAGCTTCTTCCCTTTTTTTTCTCCATGCTGTTTTTAGTTTATCAAAGTTTAAAAAGTTGAGTTGTGTAGATGCAGTTATATGAGCATCATTTTTTACCCTTGATTACTATTACAGGAACATCTGTTTGAGCTTTTATAATATGATTTCTCATTTCACTACGATTAACTTATACATGCAAGTAATTTTGTCAGTTTTGCCTTATTGAATGTACTGTAAATCTAGCTCGGGGCTGTAGAAAAGTGTTTTTTGACAGTAAAAATAAAGGGCTTTTTGCTGTCCAAAACTCTTTTTAGAATGGGATTTTGGAACCAAATCAAGAAGTGGCTCATAAAATTTTGTATTATATTAATTTTTACAATTAGATTATATATACTTTATAAGGTCTTTTCTTGAGAAAATGCATTATAAATTCTCATTAAAAGTAATAAGTTTGTAATATATTTTCTATAGCATTGAAATACATATTACATTTTTTTAATAAAATTAAGAAATTTTAATTAGTAGCAAAAAATGGTTACAAAATTAAATTAAAGACATTTTAGAAAATATATCAAAGTGGGCTGGTTTTTATTTAATTCAGAACTCGACCTGTTATATAAAAATGTATTTATTTAATCCATGTCAAAATCCGTTGTGGAATTTTTGCCATCCTTAGTCATGAGTCATGACAAGTGATTAAGCTAAATAATCTAAAAGTACCTCTGGAAAGTAATACTAAACTAAACACACTTAAATAATCCAAAAAGATTTCTGAAAAGCAAGGTTAAACTATCCTTTTCTATCTTCTAACGTATTAAATCTAAAATAATTTGCTAGTTTACACCATTTAGAGAAATCTATTGCAAACGGAATTTATTCAATTCAACCACAAGTCAAATGACAAATGGGAATATTGACAATTCCGAGGACAAAACATCGTTTGGAAGTATATATACTTATTATATTTAATTTTCAGTCGAAACTTGAAAACCCATCTCGATTCCCATTGTTAGTTTTGTTACGACTGTTACAACGTACTTGGTTTTAAACCCCCCACCCAAAGTTTAATTGGATCCAATTCTTAGAACAAAAAGAAATACCTTAATAGTTATAAAGTTAGTTATTGTCCCCAACTAACTGGAATTTGTCTGCCCCAACGATGGATTCTTGGCTTTATCCGTTTCCATGCGTACCCTACAATCACAAAAGAAACGCAATAAAAACTGGCAAAAATCGGCAATGTCATTACAAAATAAACTCTAAACCGCCATCTTTCGATGGGACCTGCTAAAGAAAAAGGTACATTCTGTCTTTATATATATGCATATAATATCTTATGAATTATCTTTTCGGTTTTCGAAAAATCGAAGAGAAATATAATGTTGTTTTCCCCCTCAATGCAATGCGACATTCACGGATTCTTTTAAATGAAGGAAAGAGGTGTAATGTGTCTAATTTTATATTTTATTTTTGTATTTTTTAGGAACATGGACGATCAAGGTATGCAATAAGGGAGTTTCACCATGTCATGGCCAGTTGACCGAGACAATATTGCCATCTTCTCCAAAGACGCCGAGGCCTGCTCTTGTTCTATCCAATTCCGGGAAGGCCTTGGCCGCATCAAATTCCGGAAAGACCTTGGTGGTGTCCAATTCCGAAAAATCTCTAGTAGGTTCTAGTTCTGGAAAGCGATTCGATAAAAAGTACGTGAAACAAGTCACAGGCCGCCACAACGATACCGAGCTACACCTTGCAGCACAACGCGGTGATGTCGAAGCGATCAGGGAGATTCTGGCAGAAATTGATGCCCAAATGACCGGGACACTTAGTGGAGCAGAATTCGATGCTGAGGTTAGTTGTTTACGGAACCACATTGTGACGGTTTAGTATTTCAAGTTTACTACTGTGACAATCCCAAATACATTGCCGCTCGATGTTCTGATACCGTGTATATGTTTTTTTCTTTTCATAAGGTGGCCGAAATAAGGTTAGCGGTTGTGAATGAGGTGAATTATTTGGGAGAGACGGCGTTGTTCACCGCAGCCGAGAAGGGGCATTTAGATGTGGTGAAGGAGCTGTTGCAGTACACGACGAAGGAAGACATCACATTGAAGAATGAATCCGGTTTCGATCCGTTGCACATTGCGGCAAACCGAGGTCACGAAGGTATTCAGGTTGCTTTCGTTTACATTCTTCAGTGCAAATTACATCTTAGGATTACGTTTGATATCTACCATGATGCAGCCATTGTCCGGGTGCTATTGGACCATGATCCGAGCCTAAGTAAAACGGTTGGACAAGCCAATGCGACACCTCTAATATCTGCAGCTATGAAAGGGCATACGGATGTAGCAATCGAATTGTTGAGAAAAGATCCGAGCTTGCTCGAGATCCCGAAAGCGAATGGGAAGAACCCGTTGCACTTTGCTTCCAGGCAAGGGCATGTGGACATTGTTAAAGTACTGCTCGACAAGGATCCACAATTGGCAAAGAGGACTGATAAGAAAGGGCAAACTGCTCTGCATATGGCTGTCAAAGGAACTAGCTCTGAGGTTGTGAGGTTGCTTCTTCAGATGGATTCCGCGCTCGTCACTATACCGGACAAGTTTGGCAACACGGCGTTGCATATCGCTACTCGGAAAAAACGGACCGAGGCATTGATTTATCTTCATACCTATATCATATATGTCATACAAGTAGACCTGCTAATAGATGACATTGTCACATTGACTACGTTGTTTCTTGCAGATAGTGAACGAACTATTACTTGTCCCACACACAAGCGTGAATGCGCTTACAAGAGACCGTAAAACACCTCTCGACATAGCCGAAGGGCTGCCGTTCTCCGAGGAAATAGCCGGAATTAAGGACTGCTTGTTTAGTTTCGGAGCCGTTTCGGCGAACGAGCTAAAACGACCGCGAGACGAGCTGAGGAAAACGATGAGAGAGATCAAGAACGATATGTATATCCAGATCGAACAAACCCGAAGAACGAACCGAAATGTGAACGGTATTGCCATGGAACTGTGTAAACTTCACAAGGCGGGTATCAACAATGCCACCAATTCGGTCACCGTGGTATCGGTGCTTTTCGCAACAGTTGCATTCGCAGCTATCTTGACTGTTCCGGGAGGCTCTAACGACAGCGGTGGTGCCGCCGTCGTTAGCGGTGCACCGTTTAAATCTTTTTCATTTTCAACGCGGCTGCACTCTTTATTTCACTGGCGGTCGTGGTGGTACAAATCACGATCGTGAGGGGCGAGTGGAAATCGGAGAGAAGGGTGGTGGAAGTGATCAATAAGCTGATGTGGCTGGCGGCGGTATGCACGAGTATTTCGTTCATATCGGCGTCGTATATAGTGCTCGGCCGGCGTAACAAGAGGGCTGCATTGGCTGTAACAGTTATAGCAGGAGTAATAATGGGAGGAGTTCTTACCGTCATGACTTATTTTGTGATCAAACACAAAAGGACACGGAAAGAGAAGAGGAAGAGGAAGAGATCAAGGACCGGAACACGGTCATGGCAGTTATCAGAATCCGATCATGAAGTCAAAGCAATCTATGCCATTTGATGCTCATTATTTTTTTGTTGTTGTAAATTTTGATGAAATCAAAGATACTTTATTTATTTAGGGATAATAAACGGATACAATTTCGTAGATTTCGCACCGCACCCGTTTTAATTGGAACGAGGATGGATATAATTTTAGTGGGTAGTAGGCGGGTGTGGATTTAGTAAGTGGTACCCATCGCGGGTAGTGGGCGGGTAAGGAGTTTGACACCTTACCCGCCCCGCATCCGGTCGCCCCACATCCGCCCGCCAGTTAAATATCTATTACATTTTGAATATTATGAATTTAGGTATAATTTTAGAGACTAATTTATAAATCCTAATATTGTATAAGATATAACTTGTTATTTAACCAAATATTAGGGATAAGTTAAGTTTATGCATAATTTTTTTTCCTTTTAAACCTCTCATTTTTACTACTGAGCCGATCTTCAAAGGCAATCTGGATTCTACGTATTTCTCAATTTCATATGTTAATATCAAGTTTCTGCCAGTCTTCAAATGATGTTGGATTTTGTGGTGTTTTTGGTATAAAGGATTCACTGTCTTAGGATATTGGAAGGGATTGCATAATAAAATACTCGTTTTTAGTTAAAATGTCAAAATCTTATATCAATATGCATGCATTGATACTGGTTGGAACAGTTCAAAACTTATCGAAATTGTGGAAACGTACTGAAATTCGGATTGGAATGGAGCTTAGACTACTTGATATCAGTTTAGGGCAAAATGAGTAAGTACTAGTTTTATTTATGTGTTTGTTGCTTATGTATAACTTAAGTTTGCTGTCTAGCCGGGTACATCTCTAGTTGGATAGTGAGTGTGGGATGGATTTGAGAATGTACCCGCGTGGGCGGGTGTGGATTTGAAAATTTTTACCCATCATAGGTGGTAGATTGAAAAATATTAGATGGGTATGGGATGAGGAGGGGGTGTCCGCACCCGACCCGCCCGTTTGCCATCCCTAACTTTATTACTGATTTTCAGATTTATAATTCTATATTTAGTAATTTTGATATGATTTTTTTGCCTTCAACATACATAATTTTTCATATATTCTTTTATATTTATTATAAATAATATCAACAACCAATAAATTCATTTTAATATGTACGTCTTTAATGACTAAGAAAGATTTCTAAACAAATATTATCTCTATAATTTCCATAAATTATTTTTCTAAAAAATATAACTTCAATTATCTAATGTGAATAAAATATATTATAAATAATAGGGTAAAGTATAGTAATGGTCATTGAACTTTTCTAAAGCTTTCATTTAGGTCCCCTAACTTTTAAAACTTGCAATATAGTCCTCCAACATTTAGTATGTTTGCAATATGGTCCCCCAACATTTATTCCTTTGCAATATGGTGTCCGACGTGACTGTTTGGAAACCATATTGCAAACCGACTAAATGTTAGGGGCTGTATTACAAGTTTTAAAAGTTAGGGGACGTAAATGAAATATTTAAAAAAGTTCAGTGACCATTACTATACTTTACCCATAAAATATTGAGAAGCATGAT